GTTTGGTCTCTGTAATTATCCACCATTTTATAGACATAAAAAAAGTTTGTTTTTCCTTTTTTTTTTTTTTTTCAACATTCATGGAAAATTTATAACAGTAGTGCTGTAATATGTTTCTATTTTAGTGGAAATGCTGGTCAGGAATTCCTCAGACCACATACTGGTACGGGTCTGCTTTTCCTTGGTCTGGTGTTGCGAATGGGCTAAGCCATGCTATAGAGAACGGATGGCCAAATACTGCTTTCATGTTCATCCATTTTGTTTTTTTAGCCCATCTTCTCTCTTCCTTTTTCAACTGTTCTATTCCCTGAAAACAGAAATATCACATTTTCAGTCAAACACTCAGATTTTGTGTTTCTGGATTTGGGGGAAGGTCTACTCTCAGTTACCCCTTATCCAAAGGATGGAATGAAAAAATAAAAATGCATCTCTACTGCCTTTCCTTCTCATTGTTTTATACTGAAAAAATATTAAGGATAGAAAATATTCCTTGGAAATAAAATTCCTTTCACTTTGTTCAGGCCTAGATATTTCATCGAACCTTTTCAGACCTGCCCTCCAATTACCTCTAATGTCAATTAAAAAAACCCCCACCACCTAAAACCAAAGTATGGGCTTTAATGGCTGAAAGCGTTATGTGCTAACCAGATGGAGATGTTTTAGAGGAAACCATCACAAGCCTGCAGACCGAGAAAAAAAAAACCCACAAACCCAAAGATAATCTCTATAACACTCCCAGATTCACCAAGCAAGCTCAGGAAGTGCCCATGGCTCAGTGTAGCTGAGTCTACCTGGTGCCTCTCCATGTCTCATTGGAATCACTGCTAAAACATGCGTGGGCTGACAGCAGGGAGAAAGGGTTAAACAAGGTACCGATTCGAGAGAAATCATTGGCATTGTTTAGTAAAGGTTAGCAGGAGAACAAAAATAAGCCATCAAGCAGTCAGCTGAAACATTCACTAGTCAATCATTAAAAAAAATAAAATATCTGTATCCTATCAAAAAAAAAAAAATCACAAAATTAATTTGGTCTTTCACGGAAGTTACGCCTGGCTGCCACAGAAGTAAAACGAATGAGTGCAGTCACTGGAGAGCATTACTCTTCCACGGCTACAGCAGCAGAAACATCACTCTGTTCTTTAACTTTGGATCTTTTGCAAGGTAAGGTTCACCTGACCTACATGTTTCTCCCGTGCTACAGATTAATGCGCTGTAACACACCTGTGTGTCTCAAATTACCAATTCTGGGAGCTCTGCAGAACACAGTGTGGGGCAACTGCAAAGAGTTGTGCTGATCCCTGGCAAATGTCACCTCTAGAGACAACAGCAAACTACCAGGGTTCCAGGGCCCTCAGGCAGAAAGGAACCATCCCCGTGGGACAGTTCACACAAGATGGAGAATGAGATCCCCCAGTGATTGGAAGAGTGAAGTGAGAAAGGACAAGACACAGTCCTGTCTCTAACATGTGAAGTCAAACACTGCAAGCCACCACACCAGGAATAATTTCACCTGGAAGTATCCCTCTGCTCCAAACAGACTGGTTGCCAGACACAGCTAGCTCACGGCTAGCAAAATCATCAGTGAGAAGTATCATGGACAGCATAAAAGTTTCCCCAGAGCAAACTCCTCACTGGAAGTATTAAACAACAAGACAAAAACGAAACCCCACAACCCAACAGGGGGAGCCCATATTTCATTTTTAGTTTTAGATTGTGGCATAAGTTCTTTCAATGTCTGCGAGTTCCCAGAATTTGAGGAAAAAGGAAAAATCAGGGGACTTGAGTGCCTGGCTGTAGGAAGCCGCCTCTAAAAATTCTTGCCAGGTTTCAAAGATTGAGGAATTCAGGTGATGATTTCAAAGACAGCATTGCCAATTTACGTGCTTATTGATAAACTCCCAGCTCGGCAGGATCTTGTTGTTCTGTACGACACTGTACTTCTTCCTGGGGCTCTCCCCAGCAGAAAGAACAGCTGAAGTCTTCCTCTGAACACAAAAGAGCCACAGTGTGAACATCAGCTTCTTGCAGAAGCCAAGCATAAAAGAAAAAAAAGTACCATGAAAAAGACTCGGGAGCATTGGGCGCTTACGGTCTATAATGGCAGTCACAGCTCTCCAACGGCCACAAAACCACCTATTCTAGCTTCGACTGGCCATGGGCAAACAAGTGAAGGGGAAAGAAAACTAAAGGAGGCAGAGGAAGAAATAAGAGTTGCCACTCCTTTAACACTATCGCTTCTCTTCAACCACTCCAGTTAATTCAGGTATCTGAGCATGCTTGGTGAAGGCCGGCAATATTCACAAGTGTGGGCACATCCCCAGGAGTCACGAGCTCCATCTTTACAGAAGTGGACATGCAGGGACACATGATGGACTGCAACACTGCTATGTGACCTCTGCTATGCCACCTCTGAACTGGGGATGACATGGTGGCCCAGCAGGCTTCCATGAGCATACTCCACTCCCTTTTCTTTTTCCTTCTGGCAAGAGTTTTGGAACTGTTTAGCAAGCAGCTAAAACTGGAAATAATCCAGACTAAAAGAAATATATGTGTGTGTGTGTGTGTGTGTATATATATGTATCTATATATATATCCCTCCCCCATCTACTTCGCTTTCCAGCACATAAAGCTGTAAATAGTGACACCAGGGGACACACAGCTGAATGTCAGACAATACCAATGTAAAAGCATTTCATTAAAGGAAAAAGGTTCCCAAATCCACAGGGACAAATACTCTCTGAGTAATCCCAGTTACCAACGCCTACCTTATCAGAGGTACTGTCAACACAGCATCCCAGCCAACACATAGGTGCACACTGCTTCTCACAGTAACCTCCAGAGAGCACAACCCAGCGCTGTGCCAGCTCAGTTTATTACACTGGATCTTTCCTCCAAGGGTACACATACATGAATTCCCCACGCAGTGAGGTAAAATCCTGCAGCCCTTCACTGTTTCTACAAACAGTGAGAGAGACAGGGTAAAGGAGAGAGTGTGAGACACCCACCGTTTCATCAGTGCAGATGGAGTGTACTTGGGTCCCAAACATAACCGAGGTGAAGATAAGAAATAGGAGAGCCTCGAAACACAACAGGATGAGAAGAATCACTGTCGTTGGCGGAGAGAAGGAACTGCATTCTATGAAGACAAAACAATGGAGTTGGAAGGGGAGAGACAGGTAATGCAGCAGCTGCAAAACACATGCTAAGCCACGAGTTTCCCATACTCAAACTGTCGAAATAAATTCTGTGATCACCATGCTCAAAAAAGGTGCACAGGGAAGCGCTGACATTCTTGAGGATATTCAACAATGAAATGATTGTTCCTGCAAGTTCAGAAAGAAAATAAAACCAAAAAACCCCTGGAACACTTCAAGAATGCAACTTTCCTTGCCACTTTGGTGTTTCCCCAGCACACTGGCTAGGACTCCTCTCTACTCCATTTCACCTGGAGCTTCTCTCTTCAACCTTAATCTTTACATATTTTCCACAGCGATAAAGTCCCATCGGAAATCTCAAGCTGATGGTCAGGACACAAGGATCATTAATTCTGTAGCACCATTATTTCTGCAGCACACCACTGTGTGCTTCCTTTCATGACTGCTCTCAGTCATCACCTAAAGAAATGCAGATTAAGCCAAATTTTTATTTTCCCTCATATTCTATGGTGCAAACTCAAGCAAGAGCTGAAAAGAAGATAACTGTAAAACAGGAGCAGAAGAAAGGAAGAGGAAGGAAAATGTTATAGGGCAAAAATCATAGTGCTGAGTGTTGTAAATATCAGAAAACCTACAGATTTTCCTGAAATCCAAGAATGAGTATCACCAAAACCCCCCTATTTTTCTCATGAGATGTTCAGCTTTAACAGATACTCCATAATCAGGGGCTAACACAATCAGCACAAATCCAAGGCATCTGGAACAACAGATCCATCTCTCATAACTGCTCAGTTCTGCCACCTAAACCTTGGACAAGTGGGAAAGTGCTTCCCCCACAGATACAAGCTCTGAGAAAGCGGGCAAAAGGAGACTCTGTTTTTTGATGTATCCTGCCCCTATGGCCCTGGTCACCGTAGTCAAATCCAGACATTCTCAGTGACAGCTAGGCAGCTGTTTTACAAAGTTTTGAACTGCAGAACAACCTTGTCAAATTCAGTTCGTATGTGTATATGTACCCATCTTCTGCAGTATTATAAACTAAAGCCGGCCATTATATTGCATGATACAATTGAAACTCCAAGAAAAATGAAGCTAATGCTCTTCCAAAAAAATCCACAAGCAGCACAAACATCTGAACACACATTCTTTGACAGCTTGCTGCTTGACTCAGCATTATCTAGAGGACTTCCTACACCCATTTCTGTTTTTAAAAACACATCTCAACGCTTTGTGAAAATTTACTCACTGGCTGCTCCAGAGTGAGGGCTGGGGTTTTTTTTTTGTTTGTTTCAGGGTTTGGTGGGGTTTTTTTTGCGTGCAAAGGAATTGTTTGTTCTTGTGAGGGTGGATTTTTGGATCGGAGTTAGCATGTTTTCCTGGCAGTCTTGCAAGAATGATTCACATTACCCTTTTAAAAAAAGCGTACACATTCTTCTTATCTTGTATTGGCATTCAGGAAATCAGTGCTGCATTCATGTCAACAGTAGATTATTGTATACATACTATCTAGGTGCCTTTACATCTCAGCTTCTCCCTAGGCAGTATCAGGCTTAAGTTGAAACAGCACTTTTCAGGACAGAGATCCCAGGAGGTCAAAAAGAATTATGAAGTTCCAGGATTGATCATAAAAAACCCCAACACAGAGATAGCATAGCAGAGCCCTGATATCATTCTTCTAAACCCAGCATAAACGGGGTTGCCTTACAAGCAAACGACATTATAATGTCTTATTCATAGGCTAATCTCATATTTTAACAAGATATTTTGTTATTACTCACTTGTCCAGTCTTCTTCAAAGCAATACAAGAAGTGAAATCCCACCATGATTAGAGCATGCAGGGAAATCAGTGCTATATACATCTGAAAAATAAAGAATAAAGGATGCAATATAGGTATCAGGTAAGTTTAAAGACCAAAATGCTAAATCTTCCATACACTTTAAATAAAGCAAAGTGTTAAGACTTCAAAAAAACAAACCCAAACCACCCCAAAAACCACCAAGCCCTCTCACACACCACACCACCACTCCTGAAACAAGCACCCTGCGGCCGGCAAACGCCAAGACTACAGAGACTCATTTTGGCCTTACTACCAGCTCTGAGTGCCCAGGAGGGACACTGTTTAATTCAAAGCCAGCTGGACTAAACACCCAGGCTCCCGTGCCCCAGCGCAGCCTTCCACACCGCTTACAGTACTCTGCCAAGTACAGCGCGACTTTCAGAGAACAGCAAAGCTCTGACATCGAGGTATCATGTTGTCAAAGCTTACGTCCTTGCTCGTGAGAGCACTATAATTTCCCTGGGAAACAACAGCTAGTTTGTTTTAACTGCAAAAAGCACTTTATCTATCTTCCACTGTGAGTTTCAGAAAAATAATTTTTTTTTTTTTTTTAGTAAGTATTTTTCCCTCAGGCAGACACTGGCATGGAAAGTTTCTCTCCAGCTTTAATACACTGTACTCAATCCTTTTTGTTTCAAATTAGGTCTTAGCTTTGTAACAGAAAGCTTTACACTATATGCAATGCTACACATACACTACAATTTACCGAGACAGGGCTGAAAAGATGACTCTCCTGAACCTAATGACTTTGACAAAGGTTGGCGGAGATGGGAAGTGAGAGAGATTTTGTTACGAGAAACCCCTGTGGAAGCAGTGAAAGATGATAGGAAAGTATTTTGGTTTTCCTTGCAAGTTGAGCATGCTGCTGTTGTTTTACCTCCTCAGGTCTCAAAAAAAATAACCAAGAACAAAACCAGTAACCCTTGTTTCTCGCCACTACGTTAAGTGTTTAATACAGCCTGCTTAAAAGCAGATATCAGTTTTAACAGAAACCTTTTGATAGGATTAAAACACGTAGCTCACTCCTCATGGTGAAAAAACCCTTGCTCAAGGGAAAGAAACAGGATTTGTTTTGTTCTGTAATCCACATCTTAACAAATCACGCCACAGAACAATAAGCCTTTCCATTTAACTGAAAATCTCCCCCTTTTTACTTGGTAATATGAGAACATTCTTCCTCGAACCTACAGATGTCTCAAAAGATTTATTAATAAAACAGAGCATCACTGAAACTCTGCCATGTAATGATCACACTACTCCCACGGGATATTTGCAGTTCGCTTTGATGAAACAGATATCAACCTGTCCATAAATATGTAGTATTCAAGTTTGCACTCCTGTTCTCTTACTCACGATGCCACGGATATAGTACAAAAAGTCACACACCTCCTTGGTTTTCAAGTACAAAAATAAACCACTTGCAAGTAAAAGGTGCACAATTCTTGCCAAAGGGGATGCAGACTTCCCACTCCTCGCTTAAAATGTGGCAACAGCTCTTATTATATGATCCCACACAAGTACTCATACAACTACAACATGTAGGAAGCCTACATATGGCCTGGGATCCTACCAGCCACAGTACGGTGCAAAAGGATGGCCCACGCCTCAAAGAGCTCAACACCACTTGCATTAAGAAATAGGCGCGGAACAACTGTCAACACAAACCTCACAAAACCCTGGCAAATATTTCCTATGATGCCTTTTTTCCCCCCACCGTTGTGTTGTGTGTGTTCCCTAATCAGTGAAACAATAGTCTGCAACAGTTCCCTGCAAAGTTCTCCTGAAACAGGAGGGAAGAGCCAGCCAGCCTTTGGAGCTGCTTCACAGACTACACACAGCATTTCAGTGCTGCCCACTGGGCAAACTCAAACACCACTTGCAAAATACTTACTGTAAACAGTACAAAGTACTTCTGGTTATTCTCTCCTACACAGTTATTGACCCACGGGCAGTGATGGTCCATTTTCCGAATACACCTCTTGCAAACACTGAAACAATACAGGTCTTTATTTATAGCACATTTCATTCCAGGAACACAAGATTTCACCGGGGCTTGGGGGGCACAGAAATTAAAGGAAAGAATCAGAGGTGAAATTTGAACCTAAATACATTTACTGGTCACCACATTTATATTTGTGGTTGGCTCACTTGACTATGTCTGTTCAAAATGAACCATACAATACCAAATCACCACTGTAAAAAAATCAATGCCACGTAAGACACCTTAGCATAATACTCACATTAGCGGTTCTGCCAAAATATGGTTCGAATAATACACTCAGTCAGACAGAAAAGAAGAAAAAAAAAATCTGTCACTTAGTTTAGTTTTAACCTATTTGGTCTGTGAAAATGCCCACAGATTAAAAACAAACAAAACCCAGAAAGACATGAAAAGCAGTAATGAATATTTTTCAGAGTTGCCAATAACAGACTAAGGTTTATTTACAAACATTAGGTGGTAGCAGGAACTTGCAAAAACAGAAAATTAAATAAAGCATTAAAAAAATATTCTTGACATCAAGGTAAGCCACATACCAGCATAAAACAGCTGTGGCAGTCGGTCAGGAACTCAGTACCACAATATACATTCAAGGTAACATTAGATGTTAAAGCACTTCACAAAACCAGACTAATAAAAAAATCAAAATTCAAATTCTTGCCAGCACGCACATTGTGGCTAGAAGTCAAATAATTAAAAGATTATTACTTTGTCTGAACATCATTCTCTTGCTTAGTCAGTAACCACTTCAACTCACATAATAAAGGAAGTCTTTTTCCCCTGTCGCTTTCTCATATGATAGGAGACGAAAGGCAGTCTCCTGATACCACATTGCACAAACAAGCACAGAAATCAAATATGAAAAAACACAAAACCCCAAACCAAACAAATAACAGACCCAGAAAGGAAACAGCCATTCCAGAACAATTCTGGCAACACTGAAACAGAAAGCATTGAGGGCTCTGCTAATTTCATTTTTCTTTTTAGAACAAAAAATAATTTGACCTTAATATAAACAATAAACTTCCACACCCAAATGCTTAAGGGAACCTCAAACAAAAACATAAACACGTTCTTACGAGCATGTATGAATAAATCATAGAGAATCTCTCCATCAGAACAGCCTTGCACTCACTCTATGTGGTGGTGGGGGGTAATCCCCAAGGATACATGTCGTGATGCCGTGCCTGAAAAACAAATGAGTTGCTATAGCCCTGATCCTAACAGAGAGGTTGGTCAGGCAGGCCCCAGCGTCTCAGCATGGGGCCAGGTCAAGGGCTGCTTCTCCCCAGGCAGGCTTGGTACCCTACCACTGGCTCGAATAAGCAGCTTGAAATTATTTTTGAGCTACATGGAGACTAAAATCAGCTGGCACAGTAAAAACAAATTATCTGCCAGAGACCATCATACTTCATACGACCAGTATTAATTACTGGTTAAATAAAACAAAAGGGGGAGGGGGAGGCGGGGCAGGCGGTGTAAAACAGGAGGATGGCTCCCTGTGGTCTAATTTACTGTGTTCACACGCATACATGCTTCCCTTGGGCTCCAAAACAGGTAAGTACCCAAGCAACCTCTTCAATCGCTCCTAGGTCCTAGTTCCCCAGAGGTACAACCTGCAGGAGCCAAGCCAAAGACGACCTTGGTGAAGGAGGCAGCTAAGGCTGAGAGGAGACGTTTTATTCCATGTACACGTAGCAAAAGCAGCTGGATGACAGGCAGAGCATGAAACTAGCTGGTGGAAAAGGAAATACAGAAACCAAGACTGAAAACTACAGGCAGCAGCGACTGCCCATGCTCAGACATTCTACCCCTGCTCAAACACCCAGCTTCCAAACGCTGGCAGAAGTAGTTCACTGGGCATGGGGGACTCACAAAATAGCGTATGAATCAAAAAGCACCCTGGTCCCTCAGGCATACAGCTAGCAGTATCTCCTGCTAACGTACATGCAGAACCTTGATGTGTGAAATCAAATAAATCTCCCTACTCCACAAAACAATGTTTGCCTGAAGATTCTCAAAAGCATCAGTGCTCAGTGTATCAGTTTCCAAATCCTAATGTCTAAAAAATTATCTTAAAGCACAGAAAAAATGACCATGGAGATGAGATTTTGTGTTTAGCCAAAGAGTTGTCTTCATTTCCCTATGCTGTGAGTCATCAGCAAGACAGCATTTTAGATGCAAAGTCTCATTCATAATTGAAGAAGTGTCAGAGGGGATTTTACAGTAGCATTAATAAGTGATAGGCATGATCACATTGCTCCAGCTAAATAACCAACTTCTAATTTTGATTAAAATAAAAAAAACAACAAAAAAAGAAAAACTTTTGCAAACCAAAGCTCTGAAAATAAATATGAAAACTGTAAACAGCAGAACATGTTTGTTCAGCTCACTACCGCTTATCCCCCGCCCCTCACCCCAAGACCCCTGCATGAACCAGCAGTAACCCTGCTACGAGCTCTCTCAGTATTTTGAGTAGTTAAGGAAGGGACACCAGTGCAATCTCATTAACTACTTCTTGGAAAGCAGGTTCGCTTGCTTTAAAAGCAGAAGAGAATTTTAGGAAGTAGTTACTTTTTTTGCTCGCTGCCTTTAGTACTAAAGAGCTCACTACCGGTTACTCTCTTCAGGGAAGCTTATCCTACCAGAAAAAGAAAGGACATGACAGATCAGGAGGTGTACTGAGCTGTCACAAAGCACAAAACAAAGTTACAGGACTCAATAAAAGTGCGGAAGTTGGAACTCTTAAAAAATACGTACAGTTACCTGAACTTTATCTTTAACTTAAATATAACTTCTAAATAGAATCTACAGTCAGACAAATGGATTTATGAATAAAAACAAAAATAGAAGGAACACTGACCTTGTGAGAGACATTATATTTTATGGATTTCTATGCATTCTGGTATATAACGTCTCTAAGTCATGCTTACATGAAAATTTATAGAACGTCAATTACAGGTCTGGTGTCAAGGCAGCATTCATTTGCAGTGCTTCCCACTTTGCAAGAAGTGACCCCAGCCTGCTACAGATGAGAACTTGTGAGAAAAGGCCTGAGATTTTCTCAGAGAAGCTTGAACGTGTGTGGTGCTATTGGCGACGGAATCTGGATGCCAGTCTCTCAATCTAACTACTCCAGTCTCAGACTCCAGTAATAATTTAGATCAACTCACACTGGATAATCCTTGAGATTTTGATAAAAGAACAGTCCTCAGAAAAGACTTTACCTGCAGTGATGTGCTCTGTCAGGTTTGATGCTACAGCACTTTGGGCACTTGTAAACCACCTGTCCTGGCTTTAGCTGTAAACTCTCGATGAACTCCTTTGTGGCATTACCTTTGGGTACAGCACCCTGCAGACAAAAAACAAATCAGAAAAAAAAAACAACCCCAGACCAAAAGACTTAAAACTATGGGAGGAGAAGGAAGAGAAAGAAATAAAAACTTCCCTAGGATCAACAGCATTTCAGGAAGAAGATCAGCAAGAAGATTCAGAAAATAAGTTAAAATGAAGTCCTAATATACGGAACCACATATTTAAACATCATTTTGGCGGTTTGTTTTCTTTTAAACAGCAGTAAATCCTCACTTAAGCAATCAGTCTTTTGTAATCCTACAGTAACATTAAAATATTTAAGAATCCTCATCCCTCTCTTCACATTTATCAACAAATTTATCATGCCAGTGTTTCATATCACAAACTGGAAATTGCAGATATTTTGTTCCAGTAGAAGCAGCTACTTCTGAAGTATCATTGTGTACATTAAGAGTTGCTAGTAAATGCCTCATGTATTTATAGCTATGCTTCCACTGTGTATTTGTTATTTAAATTAGGGTTTAACATTCAAACAGTGAACGCTAAGAATCCTCCCACCTGAATAAGACTAGGCAAAACATACTTAGCTGTGCAATTTCCACTTTTAAATATGTGTCTTTAAGCAGTAACATATTGCTGCTGCAGGAGTTCAAGAGTTTCCAGCCTTTCAAGGGCTCCAGGGGGAAACAAGAAAAAAAAAGGTCATGAAATGTGCTGTATGAAATCAGTGCTGGTACACTGGCACAGACGCACCTCTGTGGATCTAAGGCTTTTATACTGAAATAAAAGCAGGGAATGTAACATTTTAACAGATATCTGATGGAATAGTCTCTTTAACACATCTATACAACCTCCCAACAGCAATAAACAATACACGTCAGTGAGAGACCTGCACATTAAACTGGTACTATAAGGCTTTCCTCAGTGGTCTTTGGGTTTTTCCACAGAAACCTCTCAACAGGCCTGACCAATTTAAAAATTACCAAGACCAATTTCCACAAAATGTTACACCTGATGTTCTCTCTCTTTAGTACAGGGCAAAGCTCAAAATCTTAGTAATGTTTTTGGCAAGAACCCACAGGAAGCAGCTCCTGAAAAGCACGACACACACTATCAGTTCTGAAAAGTTCAGGTATTCATTTATTTATAATAAGAATGTCTATTTGTTTGCCTCAGCAGTGCTTTCTGTTTCGTTCTGATACTAGACGTGCCTCTAGTTCTTCATACCCCAGAAGCTTCCTTCATCCCTGACTCCAGTGCCTGCCAAATGTTGCTGCATCCCCTCACTTTATCTTCCCTCCTGCATTTCATTTAGCTGATTTCCTCACAAAAAGCTCTACAAAGGATAATTAAAAAAAATAAAGTGTACTGGCTATCACCATTCACACACAAAAATCCCACTACCCATGAATTAAAGTATATTTTCCCAATTACTCTGCAGAGATTGTATCTGTGTCTCCAACACTGCTTGCCCAGTCTGCTTCAGAAAACAGCTTTTGTTTCAAAAGAGTTCCTGCTAACTCTGCAAAATAATTCCCGTGACCTGAAGGTCCCTAGGCATTAAAGCCACACAACATTCAATAACTAAACACAACAACGAGAACCCCCAGGACATCAACTATATAACAAATTGCTGCAACCCTATATTTCCGAGTTCACTGACCAGAAGCTTCAGAGCCTCAGCTGCTGCTTACAGTTCTGCCCAGAGGCAGTAGCGTGCATCAGTCTTTACCATAAACTGTGAAATTACCCCAAACCAAGCCATTTCTGCTGTGCTGTGGCTTCTGGGACAGCTGGAAACTAAGAAACAAAGACTACACCAAAGTTTTAATGGCACCTAACCAGGTTTCAGGTAGGAACGACATTCAGAAGGAACAGAGTATCAGAGGCACACCACCACTCCCAACAGCAACAAGAACACTTAGGAGGAAAGGGGCCAAGCAGAGCCTAAGCTTGTTTTTCCTTCCACTGACTAGCGGAGATGGGGTGTTGAACTGAATCTAATGCCCAGAGGTTAATAAGCAAAACAAACCATCACAGGCCACTTAGAATAAGCATCATGGTACTAAACGGTATCTTCGCACTAGTTGAAAGACAACAAAGCAGCAGACCAGATCTCTCATAAAACAATGTGCTACGGAGACATAGAAGAGGGTCTTACATCTCCGACGCTTCCCGCCTGCCTAAGAACTGTCAGCTCTTAGCATGCTTGCACAGCATTTATTTCAGCATGGTTTAGTACACTCAACTAAATCACTAGTGCGAGAGATGGCAAGATGGCTTTTCAAAACAACACACGCTCTGCTCCATTCTGCTGAAGCACTACTTGCCAAGGCAGACAACCGAAACCAGCTTTTCCAGCTTTCCTGTTTGTCAAGACACAACAAGCCACAAACACGAGATCTGCCACTGGGTACAAAACAGCATCAGAGATAAACACTCTCCTTCCCAGTGCAAAAAGTGGTGCTGCTCACACAATGGGAATCTAAAACTGGGTCCTTGACTTTGCATCTGACTTGAGTGGGATGAGAAATTAGCATACCACATCAGCAGCCTCACTCAGCAGGCAGACACACAAAAGTTATTTAAACCTGCCACTCACTCGGCAACTGAGTTACCCAACATCTAGCAGACAAGAAAAACACCGCCTGGTTCTTTCCGAGACATACAGAGAGAGATATACTTACTGGATCTGTCAGCATAGCACGAAAATGTGAAGCCAAAGCGAGGAAAGCCAAGGTGTTGAACAGTGTGCCATTGATGACACTATAAACATAATCTCTCGATGGAACTAGCATGACAAGAAGGACTACAAAGTCGGCATAGAACACCAGCATCCAGGTAACGACAGCACATGCAATACCACAGCCATCTCGAATAAACCACATTGTTCCCAGGGAAGCGCGGCTAGGAGGTGGAACACACTTTTCTGGCTGGAGGTATTCAGGTTTCCTTTCAATATCTCTGAAGCGGTGGACTGGAGTAATCATCATAGGCTGTTATGTCCATACTTGCACCTGAAAGAGAGTCAGAAACAGAGTTCACTGCTTTGCAAGACATGTAGACCTCTGCTCGCGAAACGGCATGCGGATTGTGTGGGAAATTCCAAACTGCAGAAAGTGAGTTGAAACGGCAAAAAAAGGTAAATAAACCAAACGTGAAATAATGGATTTGGAAACCAGACTCTTGCATTTATCAGAACACTTCCTACTCATAAGACTCTCTGAGTGCTTTCAAGACTTGCTTAATGACACATTAAATCCACTGGTGTGCCACCTCCACCCCCTCAGAGGAAAGGCAACAAGGATTTTAACGAAGAGAAAGTGATCAGGCAGGTGCCAACAAGAGCTGCCACAGCAGGAACTGAAGCAAGAACTGGACACCTGTCACGCAAGCAAAAAAGCAAACACCTGGCACAGCTGGCAGTGTCCCTTTCGCTACCTCAGACCTGGGGAGGGGAAGGGTCTCTCCCACAGACACCAGGAAGCTTAGCAAGCGGAAGAAGTTTCCTTTCTCCTTATCCACTGACTCACAGCTTTAGGGTAAAAGTGCAAAACTAAACCACTGCAAAGTTACATTGGCAGGAACTGCTGAAGAAGCAACCCAGGCAAAGGTCTCGACAGGAATTCCTCGTCTTGCCCAGAGGATGCTCTTCCTGAACAACAGCTGTCTCCCACCTCCTCCTTTGGCCTTACGTCCCTTCTAAGTCTTCTGCTTTGCCACGCTTCTCCTACCACCTTTGCTCCATCCCTCAAAGGCTTTTGTTTTACCTCCCCTTTAGCACTTATAGCTAACTCCACTCCACTGTAATAAGGGCACTAACATGGCGTTTGCTGCCACTGCCCTGTCCTCTCTGTCTCTGCAGCACCTTGTCTACCCAGAAGGTGAGGTCCATCTCGGAGCCAGAAACTGTACTACTCCAGGTACGCACAGCGCTTACCGTAGTTTCAGTGCGACTCCCACCAAATGCAGGCATTTGAGAAAACAAAAAAGGTGCTCATAAGACTTTGGCAGGGGATCAGTCAACCTGCACTGTGAACCACTCCATGTTAGAGCACACCTGGAACGCTACACTTGGAAAGCGGCTCTTTATACACACAGCAACTTCTTCCAGAGACACTTCTTAACAGCGTATTTGCACAATGCTCTAAACACTCAAAACCAATACAATTTCTACACAAAGTCCCACCTTCTACAAAAATGGGTACAATAATTTTGCTACCAAATACACTGAATTGTATGTGCCTAAACAGAAGGGTTCAGCCTCCTATTTCAACATGTAAGGATCATCTATTTCTCTGCAGAAAAAAAAAGAGTGTATTTTTCTATTTTAATTCAGAGAAAGGGAGACAATGTTCACCATTATTTATGCTTTCTGCCAAAAATCTTCATACTGAAGGTATTTTTAATTGTTCAAAAGAGATACTGTTGCCTATACAAAACGGATAAATTTGACAGGAAACATAGTGAGAGGATCGCAAAAGTACCAAGGACCTTAAACTTCTCTTAGCACTTTTCTGGCTAACTACTGCCAAGTACAAGGAGAAAGCTCTTGTGCATAACACTGACCTAAAGTGAGATGCTACTGCCTCTACCTAGACAGGGAAGGAGACGATAGTTTGCTTTCTAGTTGTTATTTCAAGGGGACCAAATTCATAACAGGACAATCCGTCTATGACAGCCAAAGATTAAGGTTATTAATGAGCAGGATGATTAATTAAACCCAAGCACAGAAGCGATGCGCTTGTGCATGTTAGTGCGAGTGACACGGAAGAGAGGTGACTGGAACTGCTGCTGCCACAGTGAGAGGCAAAAGCCAGGAGTGCAGAGTTTCTAGGGGCACAGAAATGGATGAATCAGACCACTTACAGTATTTGTTTTCTAATGTAACTGGTATAAATAAACTAGGAGAATTATTTTCTTATATTTCTGCTTTTAGCATTTAGTATGCTGCCAAGTGAGAGAGTTTAAGACGTTTTATGAATCTGAAGAAAGCTACATGGATTAACGGTAAAGCATATCAGTCCTATTTATACATACATAACACAGAACAGAAAAATCAAGTTAAAATGCACACATGTGGATCTCATTTGCTTTGGCAAGAAAAAAAACCAAAGAAACCTCTCCTCCTCATTCACAAAATTCACATACCACATTGTAATTACTTTGTATTTTAACCACAGTTGTAATTTATCCCCATGACTCCTGATACTTAGGAAGACAAGCTATGTAATTTTCAGACACAGTGATTACCCAAACAATCTGGTGGTCCAAGTTCAGACATATCTATAGCTACTAGCAAATCCATACCTTTTCCCGAGATTTTCACAATTTCTGTAAGCATGCTTATATATACATACATTCACACAAACTTAACAAGCATTTTAAAGACTCGATCCCTCCCCGAAGGAAACAGGTTAACCTTCATTGCATTATTTAATAATCTTATTAAAATTTTTATGCTGGTTTGCCAGCTCAAAACAAGCTGACATAATTGAGGTGTCATGCCTGACAATGTCTAGTTCACAGTAACATCATACTGCACTAAAAAATAAGAAAGAAAACAGTAATTTAGGTGCTTGATTTTCAAACAGAAGACTTGACACTTCAGGTGCGGGAACCAGCTGGGATAGTCCTGAACGCAGACTTGCAGGATTTTTTTGCCTAGACTCTAAGCCTTCCCCTTCCCCCCCGGGGTTTTGTTTCCCAAAGCAAAGGAATGAAACGGTCACAGGAGATGCAAGCTCCTATTTAACAGAGGAATTAATTCGACGAGTCACCTTAGGGCCAGTATTAGTAGAGACTAACTGAAAGCTAGACAAATACACAGTGATGCAAACTGGTGGTTTAGTTCCGAACAGCACAAGGCAGCAGTCAAATAAAAACTCATCTCTCTTGCAAGTGCAGGAAGTGGTGTCACTCCAATAAGAGTCCTACAGCGCGCTCTCAGAAATATTAATGAACTAAATTGAAAATAACACAAAACAAAAAAAAAAAACAAACCAAAAAACCAAAACTGCAACTGTCTAAGGAAAAACTGGAAGGAGCCTTGAGGCACCTCAGTCTGAAAGTCTGGGGACTCATTTCTGCAGTGCAATAAGGAAGCAGTTAAGAGGACACAGCACAGGCCTCCAGTTCTGACTTCTGGCTGGAGGACCTGTCATTTAATGCATGTTGTTATTTAATGCTTGCTTTAGAAGCATCATCAGGCAACAAAATGAAAAATCAGTAATCAGTACATAAACACCATCACTTGAGAAATACATACGTGTTCTAGTGTACATTATCTTAAGAGGCAAGCTATAGGAGCTTAAGAGTCTCAGCTTCTCCTCTACATTACCCAGTTAATTTGGTTTTTTTAATTCCTTGTTCTTAACACAAACATCTGTTTTTGTTTCTGTTTTCAAACTTGGTATTTTCATATAAACAATACAAAAAAAAATACTGTAGGGGGGAGGAAGCAGTAACTGGTCTGCCGTTCAATCATGCTGCATATGAACTTAATTTATAATATACAGATGGAATATGTCAGTCCCCCCTGCTCTGGAGCAAACAATATGTAAACAATGTAGGCAAAGGGTTTAAGGATTTAGTCATGGTGTCAGGCTACAAGAGAGGCCACTAGGTAAGTGTGAGATAAAATGACAACACACACATCAATTTAGCTTAACGACATATCAGAGCAGAGGCCTTTTCTTCGTTTTTACCTAGACGGCACTTGGCATTACAGGAACAACAAAAAAAACATGTAATATACACATTAGAAATGTAAATAAAACAAATTAAAATCCACTTCCTGCTGTAACAAACACTTCAAATACAATATAAATTAAGGAACTGTCTTTTGACCCGCCATAAGCCATGTCAAAAATCTATTATTTAATGGCCTGTGACCACCAAGGAGAGTGTTCAGAAAGAACTAACGAATGATGTGGGCCTTCACCCAGCGTGTATCTGAAAGCTACCTGAGGTTCTGATATTATGAAACTCACACCAAGCTTAATGCCATCATCATTGTCACCCTGCTGATTTTCATGTAATTACTCATGCTAGTGAAGTCAAGCACACAGGCGCGACTTGCAAAACCACAGGATTACGATGTATATTGCAACCATTTCCTCTATTAGAAACCCATTACCATTAAACTTTGGGCAGAGGTTACATTTTGTCATATGATCTAATTGAATTTCAAGTTCTGCCAATTACATGAAAACTACTCTGGGGAAAAAAAAAAAAAGAATGAGATGAGGGCAGATCATGGTCATTTTTTGAGGTTTTCACTTTGGGTTTTTATACACTTTAAAGAGACACTTTGGAACAGCTTTTATCACACACACAGAGCTCAATATATGAAAATATTTTGAGAGCCGACAAACAACACAAAAGTTAACTTTATCTCATCATCAGAACGAAGCAGACATACATACTCAGTCGTGTTCTACTCACGACAGCTAAACCAGGCGATCTAGAGCCACAGGACAGGACGTCCCTTTAAATAAAACCAACAAACTCCAGATAGATAGAAACTGCAAGAGAGGTCATTTTGAAGTTTATTTCATTTTTCTGTACATAGAACCGCCAATTAAGAAACTGCGTATTTCATTTTCCTTTGCAACAGAAATGAGAGAAAGTGTGTTTTCCAGTTAACAGGATATTTACCTATGGTTCTCCTGCCACACTTTCATATAGCCCAAATCTAACAACAAGCCTGTCAAAACTTGCCAGAGTAAGTTCTAACAGGGATAATGAGGAAATATCAGTATTCATTTATTTTTTCCTAACAGCTCCTGCAAGGCCTAAAAAGCTTTATCTGATCAGCAGGAGTGGAACAAAATGGCTCAGCTATGCTGAGGATTTTTGGCAGTCTCCTGCAGATTCATCCAGGTATCCATCAGCACGGCAGCTTCCAGCCCCTGGTTTCCAAAACCCTGGAGGGTCAACGGGACATTTCTAACAGGTCCGTGAAAGGCAGCTAAAAAAAGCCAGCTATTATTAGCAGGCTTAAATTTGCTATGGAG